CAGCTGTAGTGGGTAAATTGGGAGCAGCTGTGATGATGAGAGCACTGCTGTGGGTGAGCCCCTTCTGCATAATGGTCTCCAGGATGCCCTTCTGCCCCAACCAAGTCATTCCCCAGTCATACTGTGAGCACATGGCTGTGCTGAAGCTGGTGTGTGCAGATACTAGAGTAAATCGTGCATATGGGCTCTTTGTGGCTTTCTTTGTTGTTGGCTTTGATATGATTGTCATCAGTTTATCCTATGTGATGATTTTGAGAACTGTTCTAGAGCTGCCCTCCGGTGAAGCCCGGCTCAAGGCTTTTGGTACTTGTGCATCCCATACCTGTGTCATCTTGGCTGTATATATCTCTGCCCTCTTTAATTTTCTCACCCACTCCTTTGGACATCATGTGCCCCGATGAGTACATATCATGTTTGCCAATCTCTATCTCATGGCACCTCCCATGCTGAACCCCATCATCTACGGAGTTAGAACCAAGCAGATCAAGGACAGGGTTATTCAAAGTTGTTGTGGAAAAGATCCCTGAGCCAAGGGTCATAGCAACACAGCCAACTCAATCCCCCCACTGATCCAGGAACATAAATGCAGAAAGTTTGCCAGGCCAACACAGTCTCTTCTGTGAACAAAAGGTTCAGAGGTCCAGAGGTTAGCAACCTTGCAGAGCCAAAGAGCCAATTTCAGGATGCCCATAAAAGCTCTCTGAGAAATGTGATTGATCATAAATGCTGAGTTGACCAATGTCTATCATCACAAGAAAAGGTAAAACAGTAAAAAAAATGTCAACCTATCAAATTAGTGAAGATTTCAAAAGAATGCTATCTTCCACAGAATGCTAAATGAAAATCATTTTTATTTTTTTCTCTTTTTTTTCTTACAAATAGTTTATAGTCAAATTAGTTTCCACATAACACCCAGTGCTCATCCCCATGAGTGCCCTCCTCCATGCCTATCCCCCCTCCCCCCTACATCCATCAGTTCTCAGTTTTTGTCAGCATTCAAGAGTCTCTCATGGTTTGCCTCTCTCCCTTTCCCCCAC